TTTAATGTGTTTGAATTAGTTTTTGTTTTATATGTACTAGTTTAGTTTTATAAAATTGATTTTATTTGTCAACTGATTTTAATTTATTTTCAAAATAAAAATATTAAATTAAATTTGTCAAAAAAAAAAATGAAACAATTACATTTTAAAAATGCAATGAAAAATTTAAATATTGCTATTGATAGAACACTACAATAGTAGTTAAAACATGCTATAGTAAAATTTAAAAACTACTATAGTAAAAATGTTATAACAACATTTTAGAGACGCTATTAAAAAAATTACAATTACATAAAAGAAACCGCTATTACTAAAATAATATCAATAGCGGATAACAAAACCGCTATCTAATGGACCAGAACAATTATAGTCCTTTAGTTGTAATTTTTGTTTGTGGTCTGTTTTGTGTTTTGCATGTGTACTCCTTTAGTTGTAATTTTTTTTTTGTATATTTGAAGAGATATTAATGAAAAATTTGGTAAATATATTTATTTTCCACAATATTATCTTGCCAAATTCAACACATCAAGGATCAATACCCATACCAAGAAACATTTTTACCACTTTACCCAATTAGGAAAACATCATTAGTGCATATAACAATTTACTTAAGAGATGGAAACAATAGTAACTAGTCAAATATATCACATTTTTTACAAGATTGTGCTCAGAAACTTAATCAATTTAGTAAAATCAAACTTAATCTTGAAAATTCAAGTTTTAAATATTTTCAACTTACTTAACATTCTTAAAAATAAAATTTATACAAAAACAAACATAGAACATAAGTCTTCTCTTATTAGCCTAAATAAAAGTGTGAATTTTATCCAAATTCTCTGAATCAAAACTAACATATCAAACTCAAAAAGCTCAATTGATAAACCAATTTTTAGAAATATAGAGTTGATGATCGATTACCATAACTGTAAACAAGGTTAGAAAACTTACATTTAAGTCCTTTGGTGAGAAAACTTCTCAGAAGACCTAAATTTGAGTCTTCTAACCAGAAGTAAAAATTCGATGGTCATTGGTTATCATCTCATGTCTTATGCATAGATTTGGTATGTGGTTTCTTCATTAGAAGTCTTCCAAGAAGTCTTCTCACTAAAAAGATTTTAACTTCAAAAAATTAATCCAAGAAGACTTCGTCACAAGTCTTTCTCTCATTAGTTAGAAATATTAATAAACATGAATATTGGTAACTTCATAAATATCACCAATTAAGTCAAAAATTTCACTCAGTAGCTTCAATATTGATTAATGTACATGAATTTAGAAGAAAATATTAAAATGTCTTTAAAGTTTTAGAGAAATGAAGGTTTATTAAAAATTGACGCAGACGAAGTCATCTAGAATACTTTTAAGAAGTCTTCCATTTAAGTCATTTTGGAAATTAAAATTTTACAAAGAAAGACTTACAGAGAAGTCTACTCTACATCAGACTTCTTTGTGAGTCTTACTCTGTAAATATTGGCTTACTTTTGTTAAAAAAAATCTTGAGAATACCAGAGAAGACTTACATGTAATAAGTAGGTTATTTTTTTCATTTGACCGGATTGTGATTGTGTTAGAAATTTGACTTTTCCTGGACGACTTACATATAAGTCGTCTGGTAGAAAATTAAAAAATCAATATTTAATTATAATTAGACGACTTACATGTAAGTCGTTTGGTAGAAGAAAAAAACTTCAATATTTAATTTTTGTTAGACAACTTCCACATAAGTCGTCTCGGGATACTTTTGCAATTGAATAATAAAACTTAAATATTTAATTTTATTTGAACGACTTACATATAATTCTTCCTCTAGACGACTTACACGTAAGTCGTCCAAGATAAGCAATGTTTGACCAGAATCTCTGAACAAAATCTTGGACGACTTTCGTGTAAGTAGTCTCGCGGAAGACTTCTGTGTAAGTCGTCTACAAAAAAAAAATATTTATGTTTTAGTTTTTAATTGCAAAACTAACCCGATACAATTTACTTGTACGTCGTCTAGTTATACGTACATATTGATTTTTTTAAAAATTTTATACCGGACGATTTACATGTAAGTTGTCCAAGAAAAATCAAATTTCTGACACAATCCGGTCAAATGCAAAAGTAACCTGCTTATCCTAGACAACTTACATATAAGTCTTCTCTGGTATTCTCGAGATCTTTTTCAACAAAGAAAACTGGACAATTTCCATAGAAGTCTTCTCTACTACACATATAAAATTCAATTGCAAAGTAACTTCTGTATTGACCAGGCGACTTCCGTGTATGTCTTCTACTGCCAGAAGACTTACGCGAAAGTCGTCTTCCGTGTAAGCTTGAATGGATTTATGAACCATAAACTTCTTAGAATCAAAATCTTAGGTTTCTTTGGATGAATATAAAGAGAAAGTGAAAGAGAAGTTATTTTTAATTCATAAGGAGTAAGATAATAGAAGGAGTGTAAATCGAGTTTAAGTGCATTAAGAGTTTCAAATTGGTTGTTCATGGTGGTTGGTGTATTGATGTCAATGGAAATTTGTAAATACTTGAAGATGATGAAGTTGAGAGAATAAAAAACATTGGTTAGTTTTGTGTTTTACTTTGAGTTTTATGTTACTTTTGAAAGAATCCCTTATCTAAACATAAATAGTTATAATATTATGATTATTTTCTAATTTATACTGTATTTATTAAAATAAATATCTGAATAAAAAGTAACTTTTAAATCTAATAAAATGTGGTTTTCAAAAAGTAAAAAATAAAAGGTAATTTTCAAAAATTAAATTATTAATAAAATGGTCTGCATAAGGCAGTTTCTTCACTGCATTATCAATTTTTATAGGAATAATTTAAAACAAATTCTATTAATAGTGTATTTTTTTAAAACTACGTTTTCTTTTAAATTTTATTAAATGTAAATTTTATCAGAATGTTAAAATATATTTATCCAGATATTTATTTTAATAAGTAGAACATAAATTTGATAATAATAATAATAATAATAATAATAATAATAATAATAATAATAATAATAATAATAATAATAATAATAATAATAATAATAATAATAATAATAATAATAATAATAATAATAATAATAATAATAATAATAATAATAATAATAATAATAATAATAGAACTGTTTTTGTTTAAGATAAATCTATGTATTTCTTATTTTACTTTTGTTTTATAAAAAAAATAATGACGATATTATTAAACAAAAAAAACTTAGGATGTGTTTGTGAATTTATCACAAGTGTATCTTATAAAGCTTTAACTTGTTTAAACCTTATATAAACAAAATTGCATGAAAATTCATGTTTTCCGTAATACTACAAGCATTTTCATTCTTGCTAAAAGCCATTCTCTAGTAAGTAATTTTTAAATGATTACTCAATTTTTACGTCTTCCTCAAGTGTCTGTGGCAGAGGAAGTTTGGAACCTGGTTCCGATCGCTCAAACTCTGTTTCTTCGCTCGCAAGTCTAATCAAACAAGAGAAGGGCTTTGTTCCTCTACCACCAACAAGACTTACTGCTCCATTATGGCCATGGATGGTGTGGAATTTATGGAAAGCTAGAAACAAACTAATCTTTGAGAATAAAGCTTACACAGCCCTGGAGAGAGTGCTTAAGAGCATCCAAGATGCAAAGGAATGGAATGGCGCACAAACAGTAAATTCGACATCTCCTCCCAACCTCTCGCTAAATCAAAACCATCACCCCTCCACTTACTCTCCACCAAGAATCCAGCCTGGTATACTAATGTGTAATGTTTGATGCGGCGTGGAACTCTATCTCAGGTGGCTGTGGTATAGGTGGAATCTTCACCGGCAAAAATCCTCGGGACTTCTCTGTACTTTCTGAAGCTCACAGTCATGTCTCCTCAGCTCTAACGGCAGAAGCCATTGCTTTTCACCGTGCGGTAGCTCTTGCTGTGTTTTCAAACATCTGAACCCTAGTGGTTCTAACTGATTCCCTATCTCTGATCAAGCTTTTGAAGAAGAAAGGGTCCCAACCTGAATTATTCGGTATCATGTTGATATCTATCAGTATGTTCCTCTCTTTGATGTAATTTCTTTCCAGTTAATTTCTAGAAACTTCAATGCGGAAGCTGTTGCAGTGACAAAATCAGCTTTAGCTATGTCTGTAATGAACTCCATTCATGGAGCTTAAACTCCTAGTGAGTAATGCATTGCTTGTTTGACCAAAAAAAAGGAGAAGCCGAATATCCATATTGCGGATCTCATATTGCAGTTGCCAGATAAGCCTTGTGTAGAGAGAAAAAGGTAAAACTAAAGAGGTCAAAAGGGAACTGTAAAGTATGACCTTGAAGTTGATACTTTACTTCAAATGAACAAACAATCCCTGCTTATATATTTTCCTTAGTGCTACAATCCCAACGACTTTGTGGTGGTTTTATCTACAGTACCAGCTACAAAAGAGGCAAAAGCAAAGCAGCATTCTTCCATTTTAAACCCAAAAAGAATAAGAAAGAAAAACCCTACAACGTTGGTATCGCTAAGCCATCTTGTTCTCGTGTGATAACATTTCACAAACACATAAATTTTCTAAGCTTATCATCATCATCATCTGGGATACAAATTCCACTCCTGTCCCACTACGTTGTATTTTCCAGCCTGATGTGATGGTGATTGCTTGCATATTGTTTTCAGATGAAGAAACTACAATCTATGACAACAACACCTTTGCTCACTCCAAATGCTTGCAAAGGAGACAATACCCAAATCTTTCCTGAAAGGGAGAGCGCAAAAAAAAAAAACTTTCTTTTCATTACTTTTCCAATCACTAGTCCAAAACACAGTTTTGCATAGAGGTAATATCAATAAGCCGGAAGTAAAGTTAAGCCAAACATGGAGAAATAAAAACGTCATAAGATAACATAAAGTGATTATCTTTGAAGTAAATTCACCTAGCACCCATAATTTTTACTATTTTCAATAATAGGGACAAGAATGTAAAGTGATAGTGTTCAGGATGACTTACCAGGAAAAGAAAGTTCTTCAATCCCTAAAGATGACCAAGTCTGCAATAGCCAGCAAAGGTTTCAAGCAAGTGGGCATAAACTTTCTAGCGAAAAAGTATGAGCTTGTGTGGTTAGATAGCCGGAGCTGGTGCATCAAGTCGGAGGAGACTTCATGAGGCCTGTAGGTGTAAGGATGTCCCTTAACAGTACCAGTCCAGTTGACTCGGGTGAGAGTGTAACCAGTGCAACCCCCTGGATCCTTCATGTTCATCAACGTCGGAAAGTAATGTTCCTCCAGGTAACACTCGTCGGAACGGTAACAAGGAAGCTTGAATTTTCTCCACATGATCCGATCTTTGACAGTGAGGAGAGCATGTTTCCTTGTCATGACAAAGAAGTGAGAACCCACTCGGAATTTCTCAAATGGGACTTGAGGTAACATAGCGTATCTTCCACGAGCAATGTAGCGTTTCCAAAGCCTGGGTTCATCAGAGATGAGCTCGATGAAACTCTGGTACCAGACTCGGATCCCTTTGGAGGTTGGATCCGGGTTTGATCTATCGAAACTGGGTGATTCGAAGAGGGACTGGTAGACGAATCTGAAGGAGTGGAGAGGAATACAGTACTGAGAGAGGACTGTGAAGTAAGCGTTGGCGGGATCGTCGAGGAGAGCGGTGGCGAAGAGACGGCGCGTGGCGGAGATTAGAGTGGGGGAGGAGCGTGAAGTGCGTTTAGAGGAGGTGATGAAGGCATTCTGGAAGATGGAGCCGTTGCTGGGTCTGGGTCTGGTGATGTTGACGGATCTGCGTGGACGTAGACGTTGTAAAGAGATTGAGGATGGCCGGAGAAGAAGAGATCCCAGATAGGAGCGAAATGGAGGTCAGTGTTTGTGAGGAATATGAAGGCTATTTTGAGCTTAGGGTGTGGGGTTCCGGAGGAAATATGGGAGGCGGACCCGGTGGAGGCGCGACGGAATAGGATCTGATCGTCGATCTCATCGACGATAGGGATGAGATATTCGCGGGGAGGATGAGGGAAGACATGAGGAGAAACAAGGAAGAAGACGATGGGGAGACAGAGAAGAAGGAAGAAGGAGAGAATGAATTGGTTTGACAACATTTGGAATATCTAAATAGAACTTGAGATTAGCCCTAGAAGAATGTGCATAGCTTCCCCATTAGTTCACTAACACACAACTTGGACAAGATTCATGAAGAAAAAGAAAGGGAATCTTTGTACCTTTTTGAAGAGTGACCAAAGAGTAAAAGGATCTTTCAGGCTTCAAGGAAAGCTTTAACATCTCTCACAGTGACTGACAACCAGCTTATGAGAAGATGACGGAACATGATTGGGCTCTCTTTGTTTGTTTTCTCCCGATGCCACTTGAGGGTATTTGTGTCACTCCATGATCCACAAACACACCATGTGTCGCTAACGATGTCAATTAACGATTGCTTCCTTTGGCTCCATCAGTTCCACGTGACTTGACGACGTTATCCTTGTCGGTGATAACATAATTATTTCATTTAACAATTATTTCTCATCTAAAATTTTGGCTGGTAAATAATTCTATCTAACCGCTCTGTGCGATAGAGTTGGCGACCTGAAGATCGAAGAGACGAGGCCTCCTGCCCCTGTTTTATTCATCCTTTGGTGATCATACAGCCTCTCACAACAGATTGACCATTGTCGTCTGCTTGTACCCGATCTTCTCAGTACAATATCTTCGATCTAGTTCTGTATCTCACAAGTCTCCTCACGCCAAGCTTTACGACATACTTTGTTTTGATACTATCTCCTACAATTTGATTGATACACTCTGAGATTGACCCTTGTCGTTTGTTTCTGAACTGATTCTTGATCTGTAGTCTGCAATATAACGTATCTTCATACGGTATAACACTAACCAATGGTTCAAGACAAAGGAAAAGGTATTCTCTTTGAGGAGGATGATGACGAACCGATACAGTTACCGGATCTAGCTGATGAAAATCTCATTAGAGACTATAGCTTGTCTCTTATAGGCAAGATTTCAAAACCCCAAAAAACAAAATGTTGAAAGGCTCATCGTGGCTATGCCGGAGCAATGGGGAATGGTGGAAATATCACAGCTTGCAATCTGGGTAATGGGAGGTTCCTAGATAATGAAGATGCTCTGAACTATGTTCTCAGTCAAGGCCCCTTTCACCAAAATTTCTGTATGTTTGTGTTGGTTCGCTGGGAGCCACCGATAGATGAAGAATACCTGTCCATGTTGCCGTTTTGGATCCATCTCCAAGGAATCCCATTGCGCCTTTGTTCTCATCAAAAATTGGAAGCCATTGGAGATCGACTTGGGAAAGTGGAAAAGATTGATACAACAAGAGGAAATATCAAGGTTGAGATCGACTCGTCTAAGCCACTGAAGTTCTCTAGGAAACTTCAAACGCGAAACAAGGAAAACATTACCATTAAACTGCACTATCAGAAGCTGTTTAAGCACTGTACTACTTGTGGTCTTATGTCACATGAGTATTCTGATTGTGTGAAAAATGCAAAACTTAACACATATCGAGAGACAGTTTTTGATCGAGCAAAAACCAAACCCTTGGGGGACACACAACGAAATGTAGACTCGAGGATTGTCTCTGATAATGTGTGATCAAAGGATGAAACTTATAGAGGGTATAAAGAAGGCGCAGGCTCATATTCTCGTGTGCAAAGGTCTTCACACACAAACCGCATGAACAATGTGAATAATGCAAAGGAATCACGGTATAACCCGTACTCAAAAGGCAACAAGATGATCGCTTCAACAAGAAAAACAGGTGGGTATCAAGATATCGGTAAGGAAAGAGTTTGGAAACAAAGACAAGCTAGGACAAGTGATGAAGCTCAGGGAACGACAGTAGCTTTAGGCTCTGGTGATGTGGTTCTTATAACAAACTCATGAACTCCAACGCGGATGATCATAGGCTGCTAACATTTGATAGATATAAAAAACAGGAAAGGTGAGATCCTGCACCAGGATCGTTTATGGCCTCAGCTCGTAAGGCTGATAAGACAATGCGGTTGTCTACAATTCAAACTAAGGGAGGACATTCTATATCACCAAAGGAAAAAATTTCCTCTTTTGATGGATAGCAATGTTATTATCAGATCACCCCCTAGGAGCATAGAGGGCAACTATGATGATCAGTCCATGGTATCAGCCGAGGACTTAATCCCACCTTATGGAGCCCTTAAGATTAGTTCTTTAAATGAAGAGGAACACATGGATGAAGAGGAGATGCAGGAGGAAAGTAAGGGTGAAGAAAACACTATGTCAAATGATGAGGATCTCCTTGGTTTGGAGCTCGCGAAAATGGAGTATAATCGATCCATGTTTGATGATACCGAGCACTCTTTGGCTGAGACTAATGACTCAATTCTTATGATTGAGGCTGCACCAGTAATGGGGTCTGGGGAGAACGATTTAGATCCACCTAAATCTGTAGCTCGGTCTCTTTTTAATGGAAAGAAAAAGGAGAATGTGGAACAAGTTAGACGTGCTTCTCTTAGGATTCGCTCTATAACGACATCAGAACAAGGGGTCAAAAATGTAAGGGTGACGGCTGCAAGGAAACTGAGGAATGGGTCTACTACTCAAACGAATGGTAAGGCGGATGCCGAAGATCCGCCCAACCTTCATCAATGCAGATAATTAGTTAGAACTTTCCAGGGAGTGGGAACGACCTCACAGTTTGACGCCTTACAGAGATGTGTCAGGAGCATCGCCTAGGACTCTTGTTCCTTTCTGAGACGAGGAATAGGAAGCTTGTTGGGGTCAAAATCGGTTACGACGGAATCAACGACCAAAACTTCCCGCATAAGCTAGAAGTAAAGATTTAAACACGAAAAAGTGTCAAGAAGAAATCTAAGGATTCTCCGAACAAAGAAACTTCTAAAACCTCGACAATCGTCATCTTGTAAATCGTCGGGAAATCAAATAAAACAGCCCGCGATTGTTTTATTAGCCAAGTTAACAAAAACGGCTGTAACACCCAAACTCCCCGAGATGTTAAAACTATTGTTAAAGATCGGAGTCAACACCTACGGACACGTCTCCTTACATCCTCAGAGGTCTCGGGTCGAGAAAACAAGAAAAGACCAAAATCGAGAAACCGTCCAGCTCGCCCACGGGCGAGCTGCACGCAAGCGAGCTGAGCACATCTGTCCAGCTTGCCCATGGGCGAGCTGAATTCAACCACCTGAGCTCCTCGACTCGATCGTACTCTGAACCGTGATTGGAACGTCCTTCGTTACGTCTCAATCCGCCTTACCGTTTGAGTTTTACTATAAAAACCGTAAAGACGCGTTTTTTAGTAAAACCTCGAGTAAATCGTATAAAACGGCAACGGTTAAACGAAACATCGAGCATTGCCAAACTATACGTTTAACTCGAGATATTTTATAAAAAAATCGTAAAACACGCATTTTTAGTAAAACCTCGAGTAAATTGTATAAAACAGCTACGGTTAAACGAAACGCCGAACATTGCCAAACTATACGATTAACTCGAGTTCTTTTATAAAATTCGTAAAACACGTGTTTTTAGTGAAACCTTGAGTAAATAATATAAAATAGCAACGGTTAAACGAAACATCGAACATTGCCAAATCATACGATTAACTCGAGATGTTTACATAAAAACGTCATCGTATCAGGAAACGATCTTGTCAAAAGTCGTAAAACGGCTCGAAAGATCCTAAAACGCGATAAAAAGCCCACTCGCGACTTTAGATAGGATCCAGCCCAAAGATACAATGACGGTTTGCCTGTTATTCACAGCAAAAAAATAAATGTCATGATTGAAGCAAAATAGAAGTTTTCCGTAGAAAAAATGAAAAGATCGAGATAAATGGAAGGTTTCCGATAAGGACGAATCAATGCGTAAAAGGAAACATTAAACCGCCTATAGAGGGAGTATATAAGCAGAAGGTCGAGGACAGAAGCAAGAGATACGCTCAGAACTCTCTTCACACACAAATATAGGCATTTAGGCAATTTTCTGTTTTTGTTATCGAGCTGCGTCTCAACTAGGGTTTTAGTCTTAGGTTTCTAGAACTAGGGAACTCGCCGTCAGCTCTTGTAGCCAAGGCTTAAACCTGTTGTACCGCTCTTATGCAGATTCGGAATAAGAAACCTTTTTTCCCTTTACTTCTCGATTTTTATCGTTCTTACTGTTATTCTCGTTTTCTGATTGCTTGGCGTGTGGTTTAGCTGATATCCGAGACCTCTAGGAAATTAGGGTTTTCCCTAAGTTCCTTTATTTACGAAAATCAACGGTGTGAATTCCGGTTCCCACAGTTTGGCGCTATAAGGAGGGGGGGTGTTACGGATCTATCTAACTCTCAGACCACATCACGCTCAGACATATCACGATGACAGAAGAACAACAATCCGATGTCAAAATGAACGACGAAACTCAAACTCCAGCGGCAAACGTCACTATAGTTAACGCTACGGCCAACACTACAACGCTGCAGGAAGCATTCTCCGCCTATCAGAAAAGGACGGATGAACAGGATAAGCTAATCGGATCTCTCGCGAAACATGTCGAAACCTTAACCGCGAGAACCAAAGCTATCCGCCCCTGCGGAACTACGAAGATCCGTGGAAGAAGACTTGATTTCGCAACTCCTATGGATCACCCCAGAAACGAGCAGGGTAATCAACCAGGGGAAACCTCTGAGAAAGATAACCTTGACGCGGCACAAAAAGACTCGAAAAAATATCCTTCTCACGAACAGGAGATCGAGGACGACGGTGTCAAAAGGGTGAATCTGGAAACAAGCGACCAATCCGATCCTTCGGATGAAGACGCTGACGTTCATCCGAGGAGGAGGAAAGATCGCAGTCCTCAGCCCGATTCCTCTCTCGAACACTCTCTCACCGAGGATGAGGAAGAACTCTATTACATGGAGCATGCGAAGACGGCCGAGGAAAAATCTCAAGTTAGTCGCAGGAAACACCGACGGGGTCGGAAAACTGCTGGCGACCCAACTGAGTTTTGCAATCTCCCCGATTATTTCACTAAAACGGCCGCAGCGGTAAATGCAGTGAAATCGCGAATTCACCATGCCACTAGTGCTGCGCCAGAAATCGATCGACTTCTGTACGAATCTCGGAAAACGCCTTTTACGGCTCATATCACCGAGATTAAGCTGCCTGATCCCAGAAAGCTCAAACTGCCGACTTACGATGGGACAACCGATCCCAAAGCGCACCTACAGGCTTTCCAGATAACTATGGGTCGAGCCAAGCTCAAGGAAAACGAAAATAACGCAGGCTACTGCTGTCCCTTCGTCGAAAACCTAGACGGAGCAGCACTCGAATGGTTCTCTCGACTTAAGCAAAATTCGATCGGTAGTTTCTGCCAGCTTGCCTCAGAATTCTTAAAACAGTACTCAATGTTCATAAACCGAGAGACCTCTTCGCGACTTCATGAAGAAATTCAAACTCATCATGGCTAGAGTTAGAGGAATAAGCGACAGAGCAGCCATCGACGCGCTGAGAAAATAACTCTGGTTCAAGTCGAAATTCAGAAAATGGATAACTCTCGGAAAACTGCGTACGATTCAGGACGCGCTCCACAAAGCTACCGATTTCATTTTCATCGAAGAGGAAACTAAGAACCTGGCGGAACAACATAAACCTGGAAAAGCGTCCGCTAAAGACGTTGCGTTTAAGCAAAAGCCGAAAAAAGAAAAACCCTCGTAAACGACATGTACGTCCATCACGAGGGACATGATCTTCAGAGGGCGCATAACTACGCTATCAACTCTGGATCGGAGCAAGGACGAACTATGGGAAACACTTGGACCAGAAACACGAGTTACGACGAAAACGTTTTCTGCGACTTCCACCAGACCCGCAGTCATTCTACTGTAAATTCCAAAGTTCTCGGTGCAAGGTTGGCCGCTAAACTGCTCGCGGGAGAACTCTCCGGTGTATCCAGCGTAAAATACCTCATCCGTGACTCAAACCGTCCTCTGAAAACCGACAGGAACCCGCAGGCAGACAATTCGCCTCAGAGGGACCAAACGGGCGAGAAACGCGGACGAAGACAAGACGAGAAAGGAAACGATGCTAACTGCCGAAGGGTCAACATGATCATCGGTGAATCGCAATACTACTGCGACACCATCTCGTCCATCAAGTCCTATCAACGAAAAGCCAAAACAGGCTCGAATTCGCCGACACCGTCAGACGATACTCCAAGAGGAGTAATCGCCTTCGAGGAACCCAAAACTTCCGGCATCGACCACCCGCACGCTTATCCTCTCGTTATCGACCTAGTAATAAGTGACTTAGAAGTCGCTCGAGTACTCGTCGATACCGGAAGCACCGTCAACGTGATCTTCCGCGATACATTGACGCGAATGGGAATCGGGTTAACAAAAATCGAACAAATCCCAAAACCGTTGACCAGTTTTTTCCGGCGAAATGGCTATGACTTTACGATCAATCCGACTTCCGGTGGCCACTAAAGAAGTAACCAAAATCGTTACCTTCGCAGTCATTGATCGACCGGCCATCTACAATGTAATCATGGGCACGCCTTGGATAAACGCAATGAAGGAAGTCCCGTCGACATACCACTTAGGCGTTAAATTCCCGACACCTTCGTGAGTCGCAGAAATTTGGGGATGCCAAAGACAGTCGCGATCCTGCTTTTTAGCGAAACATAAACTAAGGCAAATGGCTATCGCCATTGTGAAACCGAAACGGGTGAAATCCGCTCCTTCAGCCGCAGAAAACGACCCGAAATCAGCAACGGTCGAGAAGTAACAAGCTTCTGAACCCATCGCTTCTTCCCAACCGGAGGAGAAAAACCCAGAAAAAGACATCGATCCAGCGACTGAAGCGATCGATGCATCTGCAATAGCCGAGTAAGACACACTCGCACCAACAACCAGAACTACGAGATGGCTTGATTCCCAAAAGGTATACGTAGGCAGCTCGCCTAAACACGAGTTCAGCTATCCCCCTCTCTAAAAATGGGGGGGGGGGGAGTGGGTGCGTATACGAGTACTCGTATACTCCCCTATTTTCTTAAAAAGTATATATACTCGCTTTGTACTTGAGATTTTCGAAACATTTCAATAAATATAAAGTTGGAATATCGCAAAATCTCTCCTTTATCAAAATAGCATTGTCCGAAAACAATTTCGACTTCAGAAACTCTCGAAAATCATATATCCACAGTAATTTATAAAGAAACTTTTGCAATAAAAATTGATCATTTCGAACAAAAAACTTATACATCATAACAACATAAATATTCCGAAAAGAATCAGCGAGACGTCTCGCTTTACTTCTTAGAGAAGTGATCGCAAGTCCATCCACGACTTTAAAAATCATAAACGCTCGTCGATTGGCCCCGCCGAGCACATCTGCCATCTTAAACAAACTCATACGACCCACTGGTCCTTATACATCTGACTAGGATAAAATAGCGCGCTATAAAAGAAATCCAAAATTTTGGTCAGCACCTTCGGGATGCTCGATTTTGACCAAACAATTCGTATAAGCCGAGAACATATCGCGGACTTTAGATCAGTACGAAATCAGGTTAAAATTGTAACAGGCAAAATGAAATCCGACTAGTCACCGCA